GTCTCTCTTTGTCGTTTAAGCCCACCCGTTGCCATGGCAACCGCCTGCGCGCCGAGCAGAGATTACGTTAAAAACATAACATTCAGTCCGTTACGATATTAGGTTTGCAGGCTTGATATTTATTTTGCGATCATTAATAAGCCTCTCATGAACACAGCGGTGGTTGATTAGTTAATTTTAAACTCCTGCTCTGCTAGTTATTTTGGTAATGGAACCCAAACGCACAGAATTGCGCAACACCTTGTTGAAACAATAATTACTGAGATTATTATTTTTGTTGGGTCATTAATTTGAACATGCTTTGTTGATTTAAAGTTTTTTCTTTTCATTTTTTGTTCTTTAATAAAGTTCTGAACGTTTTGATAAGGTGTCAGAGGAGGACGTGCTGGTCTCAGCGTCAGTTTGTCACCAACCGCTGAGATCGACTCAAAACCTTCCGCGATCGACGTATCATTGGACCCCTGCTCTAGTAAAGCACGAAGAGTTCAGAAACGATATGACATGGGGGAAAAGTTATTTATTAACTGATTAAGTCGTGTTTAGATTGTTCTTGAAAATCTAATCACTCACGGCTGGACAGTGAACCCATTGATTTTTTTTTTACAGCAGACAGTCGCTCCCCCTTACTTGCCTACTTTCACCCCTGCTCACAAGCTAACAAACATTTCATCAGGACAGACAGAAAGTTAACTTACACTCTGGAACTGAAGCTTAGAGAAAAACTTAGTGACTCTTAATCAGTCTTTGTGCTGCTAATTCAGGTGTAACAGCAGCATCAGGTAAAAGGTTCATCCAGTTTGTTTTTTCCGTTTTGATTCAGGTAAATCAGCAGATAAAACGGTAAGAAGCAAATGGCAAAAATATTTCAATAGATTGTTTTACCAACCTGAAATCACCAACCAGTTGTTTCAGGTAGGTGAAACAACTGTTTACCAGTTATTCAGAGAACCGTTCAGGTAGGCGCAGTACCTGGACACTTCTCTGAGTAATGATGGATATTTGTGGTTCTTACTACACAGAACCACAAATAAAAATCCACTGTTTATTTAAAACAGTGGATTTCCTGCCTGTCGGTTAAGGAGGACATGGCTGGACCTTAAACGTGTCTCTTGTCCTCCACTGTGGCAGGAAATGGTTAAAGGTGGATCAGAACCAGAACCACGTGGTTTACAGGAAACAGATGGCTGCCTCTGCCGTTTCCAGGAAGCCGCTGACTCAGCCAATCAGCACAGCAGCATTTCAGCTTCTTTAACCCATTTCATCATGATCATGAAAAAAAAATAGATCAGATTTTATGATAATAAAAAATAAATTAAAATGTGATTAATATTTTTTGCATTTTTTTTTTCTCATTTTCCTTCCAACTTTCTGAGGCTCCCCACCACCTCCTGGAGGGCCTCCAAAGTGCTTTACATAATTAAAATAAAATAAAAATAAAAACAGCATGTGACATTGAGAAAGAGAAAGACATTTTGAAGGGAAAAAAACTCATTCAGTCTATTATTGACTTTATTTCCTGGAGTTCTTGTGTCGACCAGCAGGTGGAGCTACAGTCTGACTCAGCCATGAGTCTGCAGACAGAACAACCTGAGTTCATGCTGCAGCTGCTCACACACATAAACACACACACACACTGGGAGTTCCCTAATAAACTTTTTGTAACCTCTGATGTCATCTCAACACTGTGCTGTGATTGGTCCTCTGCAGATACCCCTAAAAAGCAGCGGACCATGAGGAAACATCCCACAGCAGCAGACAGCTGGGAAGGACTGAGGGACACACAGCAGGACTCTGTCTGCAGCGTCCAGCACAGTAAGTCACATTCTGTTCAGATTATCTTCAGGATTCAGAAGCTTTCTGTTTCATCAGAAAACAGCAGAAAGAGACCAGAAACACTCAGCTGGTCAGCTGGCAGCTGAAGCAGTTGCTGCAGCTGAAGCAGTTGCTGTAGCTGAAGTAGTTGCTGCAGCTGAAACAGTTGCTCCGGTTTCAATCAGGAACCGGAGCAAAGGTTGCTAATTCCTGATGCTGCAGGCAGTGAACTAATTATAACGATCAGCTGTAACCTGTCTGGTGATGTGATAACCAGAAGTCAGAGGTCACAGTGTCGGGTGGGATTGGACACCCTGAAGCAGTTTGTTATGTCATGTGACCCGGTTCAGGTCTCTGCAGATCCAGAACAAACTGCATCTAAATTTATCGTCAGTGAAACAAAACCTGAGTTTCACTTTGAGTCGGTGCCGGTTCCCTTCAGCCTGTTGACCCGGCAACTTCCTGGAAACTAGCCGAACAGAACCAGCTTTCCTGTAAACCTCTCTGGTTCCGATCCAGCCTGCCGGTTCTGATCTAGTCTGCTCCTCCATCTTTAACATTTGGAGGCTCTTTGGCCATTTCCATTTATCACAGAATTTTTTTTTTAAAAAGTGATCCATAGAGCAATAGTTCATATATAGAGTACTACAAAATTGTACTCCAATCAGAGTAGCATACATTAGTGTAAAACGTAAATTGGTAAACTGCTCAAGTACTGAGTAACTGATTTAATAAACAAAATGTATCCCCAGACAGCCAAAAGTATAAAAGTTATGTAAACATTCTGGTATTTTAATATTATCAGAATAATTTATGCAAAAAAGGAGCTAGGTTTGATGGCTGGTTCTGGAACAAATTCACCACAAGGGCCAAGGCAGTCAGTGTTTTTTGAAACAAAAACAAAAAACGGAGCAATATTTCATCATTTGATATAATAAGCGATAAGTTAATATTTCCTGTGTTTTATTTAGGTAATTATTGTTACAATTAGTTTTGATATGTGTGTGATAGGCGTGTCTATCCGACATTTATAGAAATACACAACAAAACGCGTCCCGTATCAGTTCAATAAGGGACGCAACATTTAACAGCCAAATACGGAACGATTACGTATTTTACGGGACGGGTGGCAACCCTATTTTGTCGTTAATAAATTACAGATAAAATTAATCACTTTCTTAACTAATGCCGTTTGAAATTAATAAAATTAAAGTAAAATAGTTTTTGCATTTTTAAATACATTCGTGAGTATTGTAGCATTAGGACCCTCCATTATTTAGCTAGTTCTTTTGCTAGCTCTTTAGCTAGCTGTTAGCAATGAGCTCTGAAATCAGCTGAGGAAAATCACATTTTCAGCTGACAGTCGTATGATTGGAGCTGGAACTGGAAGCACCAAACTGTTTACCTTTGGTCAATAAATTAATTTATTGCCTCTAAATTATTATTAATAACTGAATCACAGCAGCGTTCAGCCCAGACATCCACCATGTTGGTTGGGGAGGAAGTGGCTAAATAAAGAATCAAATTACTTCTATCTGTTCCCTGAATGTTAGAACTATCTTAACTAGAAGTTCTTCACTGTTATATATACGTCACCTCAAAACAACATCACCTGAAAACAGAATGTTATAGTGTTTCTTCTGACTGAATTTAGTTTTTTTAGTTGTGTTATTTATTTGTGTAATTTTTTATTTCAGTCCACAATGTTAACAGTCTGAAGTGAGTAAGTTTTGATCCTTACTCATTGGGTAGCATTTTATTACTTATTATTTTATTACCAAATACTTTTTAACTGGAGGGATTTCTTGGACGGCTGTTTTAACTTTTAGCTGAGTGGAATGGTGCTGCTGCGTTCTCCACCTCTGAATGTTGCACCTCCTGGTTCCTCTGTTTATCTCATGCTTTCCTCCTTCAGCGAGGAAATAAACACTCTAAGGTGGAACAAACTTCTGACAGGAAGACATTTGTTAAACTAACCTTGAGCAATAAGTGGGGGTGTCAAAGACATCCTGGAGGGAAAATCTTCCTCTAGACCAGAGGTTCCCAAACTGTGGGGCGCGCCCCCGTGTCATTGCAGGGGGGGCGCGGGAAGCCGTCTGGATGAAAAAAACAAAACAAAACATGAACACTGTATGCGCTGGGTTTTTACCTTAGAATGGCCAACTCTGTTATTCCTATGTCAATTTGATACAGTAGAGACTTCCACACCTCCCATATTTGTGTCCTCTGTCACTTTTATCAGCAGTTAAAACTGTTTTATCCGTTGTTAACATGCTGTAACCTGTTTTTCCGAGCCGCCTTTAAACGCAACATGAACGGTACGACGCTCGCGCTGGGTTTACACCTGTGAAGGAGACCTGCTGCTGCTGTGCGGAGCTACGTAGGTTTGTGTTAGAATCACAGCAGCAAACCAGCAAAACGCAAAGAACTTTTCACAGTTTTTCCCTCCAAACTAACCGACTGAGTTGAGTAAAGCTGTTGGATGTAGGTAGTGTTAGCTAAAAGATGACTAGCTAATATCAATACAGAACCTTAAGCTTAACAAGTACCTTATAAGCTACCGATGTTGGTGTCTATTTTCAGCTACGTACATTCATTTTGCCCCCAAAAAAGTTGATGCCCCCTTCCCCCGTCACACGCGTCGTTTCAACCAGACAGCCATTTGTAATCCATAGGGGGGGCGCAGAAAATGTTTGGAAACCACTGGGGGGGCGCAGAAGAAAAAGTTTGGGAACCACTGCTCTAGACCTTTTAATCAGATGTTTATGCAGGAGTAACTAGAACTTCGACTGGGCCCAAAGTGGCAAAAGTACCTCAATTTAGTCAAATTAGATGAAAGAGCAATAACTGATCGGTGCCTGAACCAACAGCTGCATTTTTAAATAATTCACAGAAGACAGAAAAATATTTTCTTGAATCAAAAATAGGTTTGTACTTATAAACATATGCTGTGTAAGCATAGGCCACTGCTGCCACCTGCTGTTTTGATGGAGAACTGCATGTTCTGGATCTGTGCTCTCCCAGAGCGTTCCCTCTCTGGGTTGATGTTTATATTAAACTTTCAACTTACTGACTGAAGGCAACACTACAGCATGTGAACATCCAATAAAGTCTGGTGTGATCATCAGCGGTGATTTCCCTCTGCCAAACCTTCTGACGTTACTAGATTTACTCTGTAAACAAGCTGAATCCAAAGACAAAGTTTATCATTTTAAAACCTCCACAACTGACGTCTAAAGCATGATGCAGTTTCTTCATGACTTCAACTACAACATTTCGCAAAAGAATCAAAAAGTATAATTTGTCATAAGGACTAAAGGCAGAGCTTATTAATGAATGTTTTAACATTGTGTTTACAAATGGGGTCCAACCGACCCCACCCACGTAAAACTTGTATCATTTGGCACAAATCCTCCACGTTTGCCTCAGTCCTCGCATGCACAAGGGCTAAGTGGATGTCTTGAATACAGTTTCTATTTATATATTGTCTTGTTATTTTTCTCTCTCAATCTAAAGGGTTTTGTATATTTTTGGAACTAAACAGATGCAGGTTTGAATGGTGGGTGTGTGAGTGAATGTAAGTGTGTATAAATACATGTTTACAATGTTAAGTTTGTTGTTTGTAAGTTTATTGTGTCCTAAAAGAAAAAATTCAGTAACACTTTATTTGAAGGGGGTTGACTAAAACTG